CCGCAGCCCCCGGGGCCCAGGAGAGGCCAGGCCACGAGCACTCAGCACCGGTCGCCCTCCACCTTCCTCAGTGACAGACGCCGCGTCCTCCCCTCACAGCTTCCTCGTTAAGTCCACACCTTAGAAGTGAACGGTGTGAAGAGCATGGCTCCAGAGGAACGCGAAGACGACATACACACGAATCCATCGCATTTTATCAACAGAACGCTCCCCGCTGACGCGGATGCTGACTGAAGCGCAGTCTGGAGTTGTAGGGGACAATAGTGGAAAGCCGACGGGGAAGGCCTTCTCTTACTTTATTGTTCTAACAGAGCAGCGACGCGCAACCTTCTTCATCGCAGGGCACACACCCACTAATTACTAAACTTCTGCGGCACACCAAAAAATGTTGTTTTTTGCCGGTCTGACCAGAAAAAGAAATAGGTATAATTCTTATTCATTCACACCGGGCAGTTACTAGTGTGTTAGCTGTTGTCATGCTTCTGTGTAACCATCTCAGGGAAGAGAGGGCGGTGCCCCTGACTCGTCAGGTATTGCATGTTGTAGAAATTCTCGCGGCCCACCGAGTGAAAACCGCTGTCATAGAGGGAATACCCCTGACTTGTTCAAATCTTTAATACGACGGATTTTTATTATCATTGTTTTACATACATTTTTTTCAATGTTTTTATTGATTTCAGAGAGAAAGGGAGAGGGAGAGATAGAAACATCGATGATGAGAGAATCACTGATTGACTGCCTCCTGCACGCCCCACTCTGGGGCTTGGGCCTGAAACCCAGGCATGTGTCCTGACCAGGAATCGAACCTGGGACCCTTGGGTCCGCAGGCCTACACACCACCCACTGAGCACCGGCTAGAGCTTGTTGTTATAGTAAATGGACACCAGGTGGCGCTAGGAGACCATGGGCATGAACGAGCAGAACCACCACTAACCCAGGAGAATTCTGTCCCCTGGAGCCTGTTTACATCCCAAACCCAAAGCACCGGGAGAAAGGCCTGGAGCACCGCCTCCCACCACAGGCAGCTGCACTCCAGTGGGAGCCGCCCCCCAGCAGCGCCTGGTGCACACAGCCTGCTCCCCGTCCAAGGAGGCCTATGAAGCCATGAAATGCACATCTGAAGGCCGAGTGAGGCAGGAGGGGCCCGTAACCAGGAAACTGTCAGGTAACCAAGGTGCCCGTCAACGCCTGTGAAACCACGTGGGAGGCAGGACTGGATGAACACGTGACCAAGCGGCGATGCCCGGCCGGCGTGGCTCAGTGGCTGAGCGTCGACCTATGAACCAGGGGAGCCCGGATTCAATTCCAGTTGGGGCACATGCCCGGGGTGGGGGCTCAATCCCCAGTGGGGGCCGTGCAGGCGGCAGCCGATCGATGATTCTCTCTCATCACTGATGTTTCTCTCTCTCCCCCTCTCCCTTCCTCTCTGAAATCATTAAAAATATTTTTTTTAAAAAGAAAACACGCCTGGGTGTATAGAGTCCCCTAAGCAGCCCCCACCCTGCACAGACAGTCCACCGTTTCCTTCCTGGAAGCAAGGCTCCTTGGGGTGAACGGACGTAGTCTCCTCCTCCCAGAAAGGAGGGGTGCGACCTCCCTGACTTTGGAGAACCCCGTTCCACAAACTCCGAAGCGCCCAGGGAAACCCACAGGAGCCACGGCCGGGTTAACGTGGCCTGTGGCTCCGGGGCCACAACGAGGGTCCAGCCCTTCGGGAGCTGCAGGAGGAAACAGGCAGTCGGGGGGGAGGGGACACCCCCGCCTCTAAGTCAGCCAGAGGCTGGAGAGTGAACGACACATCGAGGCTGATGGGGGGGGGAGGGGCTCAGCAATGTTTACACCACGACGGACATTTTCTTCACCGTGTCCGACCACACAGTGGTCGATATTCCACTGATTCTAACAGGACACCTGGCTTTCTTTCCTTTGACTTTTAAAGCTGGAATCTCCCCAGGATGCTCTGGTCTGGAAAAGGGAATGAATCAGGACCTAAGTGAAACCGAGAGCTGCATTTCCACAATTAGAAGCTGGCCTCTGCCCGCCGCCTTGGCCGTGAGGATGGAGCGTCAGCCGCGACAGGGACCACCAACAGCCGACCAGGGGCTGCAGCTCTCACCCGCGGGGACAAAACCCAAAGACGGTGAGTCCTGCTCGGCCGGCCTCGCATCCCGCCGGGGCGTGTCCATGGCTGGACCTCTGCCCGCCCCTTTGGGCGAGGATGGCTCGTCCGCCATCAAGACCGTGGGCGGCCGCTCGGGCTTGGACCGGGGCTTGATCAGGTTGAGGAAGCCGCTCCTGCGAGATTCTCTCTTCTTCTTCTCGTCGCCCCCGTCGCCGGGGTCCTGGGCCTCGGGGCCTCTGGCCGATGATCTCCTGGGACAGAGAAGAAGGAACCCTGCTGGCTTCCCTGCAATCCCGGTTCCAGCAGGAACCGTCAAAACACAGACGGGAGCCCGGCGGGCGGGGCTCAGGGGCTGAGCGTCCACCCATGAGCCAGGAGGTCAGGGTTCGACTCCCGGTCAGGGCCCAGGCCCAGGTGGTGGGCTCCATCCCCAGTGTGGGGTGCGCAGGAGGCAGCTGATCAGTGATTCTGTCTCATCATTGGTGTTTCCACCTCCCTCTCCCTCTCCCTTCTCTCCGACATCAACACGAATACATTTAAAAAACGAGAAAAGAAGAGCACCGTTCACCACGGACGCTCCCCGACAGCAGGTCTGGGGGTGAGGCCGGGCGTTTGTGTCTCTGACACGTTCCCAGCTGACAGCCATGTTGCTGGCCTGCAGATCACGTTTGCAAACCCTCAGTGTCGTAAAGCCCGTTGAAAAAACCCCTACACGCGTGTGAAATGGATGAGCCTCTGCAGACCCGTCTGAGGCGACCGCCGTGACTCCCATGCGGGTGGAACCACGGTCTCGGTCACGGCTCTGGACTCACCGCCTGGTCACCTTCTTGGTGAAGAACTCGTCCACGCCCTCGTCCACTCTCCCCATGAGGCCGTTCCGCTCGCCGTCCTGGGGGCCCACGGTCGCAACGCTGACCTGCCAACCAGACGGCACCACAGTGACCGACGGTCATAAGGTCGCAGACACTGTGGTTACGGCCAAGGCCCTGGGACCACAGGCCGTCCACTGGGACAGAAGTCACGGTTCCAGTGTGACCGGGGCAGGAAGGAAGGGGAGAAACAGGTGCACCCAGGCCTGGTGGTGAGTCGCTGCTGCTGCAAAGCCCGTGGAAGAGCCCAGTGTCTACAGGCCGCCCGGCCGGCGGGGCTCAGGGGCTGAGTGTCGACCTATGAACCGGAGGTCAGGGTTCGATTCCTGTCAGGGCACAGGCCCGGGTTGTGGACCCCACCCCCAGTGTGGGGCATGCAGGAGGCAGCCGGTCAATGACTCTCTCTCATCATTGATGTTTCTATCTCTCTCCCACACCCTTCCTCTCTAAAATAAAAAAATTATATATTAAAAATAAAAATCAAAGACCAACAGTGAGCATCCGTGCTCTGGGGACGAGAGCATCAGTGTCTCCCAAGGGCGCAGGGCCCCCCACAGCCCCCACGTCTCCGCAGGACAGGCGGCTTCTAGGGCCCCCTCATCACGCAGCCAGTGCTGAGTGCTGGGCACAGACCACAGGACCCACCATGGGCCTCCGAGGCCCGGCCGGCCCAGGGCTGGAGCCAGCAAGCACCCGGCACGGGGCAGGGCCGGGGAGGCGGCCCACGCTGTGCACTCGCACACATCGGGGACAGATTCGTCCCTGGGTCCTGCAGCCGCCCAGGGAGACGGGGTGGGCTTCCTGCAGGGAGCTGGTCTCAGGGGAGATCTGAGAGGCGAGTAGATACCAGCTCTGGGGTGTGCGTGCGTGTGTGTGGCTTAGCCGGGGCTGGTGGCGGGAGCTGGCGTTCAGGACCAGGTCCATGTGTGTGACTGTGGGTGGTGAAGCTATAAAGCTGCACGGGGCCGGCCTGCTCTCCTCCCCACGCGGCTGCGTTTTTCAGGGACGACCAAGCAACCCCACAGCCAGCGCAGCCTTTTCCTAACCGTGAGCGCCAGGGGGGAGATTCTACACAAATGTCCATGCCCAGGCTCTGCTCCCCTTAACCAAGGCCCCCCAGCAGGGCCCCCCCCCAGCAGGGCT